CATGATATAAATTATTATTATTATAATCTAATAAACGCATGCTACTTAATAATCTTTGTTTGTGATGAGAACATTTCACGACTTCAATCAACTGAGCGTCTCTTCTGCTTTCTAACACGTCAGCATCGTCCTGCTGGAGAAGTCTCTTTAATTCTTCTTGATTCATCTCTCGTCCAGTCGGTTCCGGTTAATTCCCAACATCTTTACCGTCTTTAAACAGTCGACTGTCCTCCAACGTCTCCTTCATGATCTTTCAGGGAAGGTTGGAGAGCAGCACCCAGCAGAGGGCAGCAAACTGCAGCAGGACGACAGGAAGCACAACCGCTATTACAAACGTTCCCAATCACTAAACGTCATCTCCACCGGCGACCAAACCAAACCAGACCCGTTACACCCAGTGAAGAAGTTAGATAAACAGGCCAGAGGAAGACGAGACGGGACGGACAAACTTGCAGCCAGAAATGAGGGTGTGAGGAAAATACCAAGAAAGGGAAGTCAAAAAGAGCAGAGTAAGAAGTTTCAAACCAGGCAGGACGGAAATCCTTTGTTTAGACATGAAGGAATTAAAAAACAACAGATGAGAAATGAGCAAGGAACTGAATTAACTGAATATCAGGCCTTTAAAGGCAGAACCAAACCTCACATTGAATCTGGACTGACATCAAACCAAGACCGCTCCTTTCACAACCAAATCTGCTTCATTCAGACGATCCATGGGGGAGCTCAAACTGAAAGGCAGGCAACAGGTGTAGATTTAGTTTCACCTGTTTGCAGCATTTCAGCTGAAAAAGTCAGCAAATCAAGACTGGTTCCACCTCGACCTGCAAAAGACATCATCCTGGACAACAAGGCGATGGTGTCGGGTATCATGGCTGCTGAAAAACAAAGGGATGTTGCACAAAAGTCTTTGTCTGTTGTTGCTCCTATTTCTGAGAATCAAAAGAAAGATGGAAAGTCATGCAGGGGTGTACACTGTTTAGAAGGGGAAGCTGTGCCCGATATTCCAGCTTTGAGTGCAAACCAAAATGACATAAATGAGTTAAGTGCTCCGACATCAGGAGACAGTCTGAAAGAAAATGAATTTTTTGGCAAGATGGCAGAGATTGATGGTAAAGGGTGTGACAGACAAAGTTTTGAAAACAAAGATACAAAGGTTCTCACCGATTTGGTGGAAAATGTTGTTATGTTGGGTCAGACCTCTCAAACTCTTGTAGACCACCAATGGACAGTTTCAGAGAATTTGGGAGGTACCCTAAATAAAGACAAAGCCTCAGATAACCAGGGTGATTTAGGTTGCTCTGGTGTATCTGAAGGTTGGGAAACGTCAGGTACACCAGAGAAACCGGATGGAGAAGCTGTTAAGATTCAGGAAAAGACTGAAAGCGATTCCTCTGAACAACCTGAATGTAACAACCAGACAGAAACACCAACTCTGTTTGTCCCAGTCCAGATGTGGAAGGATGGGAGTGGTTTGGAAAATACGATTCAAAGCATGCTGAGAGCGTTTGTAGAAAATCAAGGTTTTGCAGCTGAAACATCAAGAATGTTTCCAGACGTCCCAGAACCTCTTAATCAGTGGATTAAATGTATCGAAGAGACGCTAAAGAACATTGCAGGAAATGTGTCAGATCAGTGTGATACAGTTAACCAAGATTCAACAGTCCAAATGACGGGTATTAAAGTTACTGAGGAGGGTGAACTATCTTTGAATGAGTTACCAGAAGGAAATAAAACACCAGAAGACCCTGAAAGTGATGTTGGACATTCTGCATTAATAAAAGACTGTCTGGTATCTTCTCTAGAGGAACTAACTCAAACTATTGATGTCTCCAGGGACTCAAGGAAAGTTTGTGAAGCAGGGGATAATCTAGAAGCAACAGAAAATACCTCAGAGGTCATGTTTAGTGTTTGTAAATTCAAGATGGACGTCACTGAATCCTCTCCAGAAGAAGATTCTGGAGCCGATTCTGTTAAAGTAGAAGAAGAAAGTCAGAGTGGTCCAATGGTGATGAGCTCCTGTGAGGAATTTGTGTTTGTTGAGTCATACTTTGCTGAACCTGCAAAAACCCAAACAGTGGAATGTTTGTTGGAAGTTGTCGCTAAAACAGACGACCAGAGAGAGATTGTTCGTAGAAGTCAAAGCTGCCTCCTTGTTTCTGTCGAGGAAGTTGTTGAGATGCAACTCAAAAGGCATCGAACGTTACTGACAAACAATCATGTTGGTCAAAGTTCAAAGGTCAGAAGACTTCTAGAAATAACTGCAGAGGAAATCAAGGCGATGGCTGTTCCAGAGTTGGTGTTGATGAGTCTACAAGAAGGCCGAATTTTTGAGAATCGACAGATTGACGAGTCAACAGGGTCGAATGCTGAGGAAGAGCTGTCTGTTGGAGACATGGACAGCTGTGAAGAGGTTGGCGAGGAGGCAGGACAGCAACCGGCAACACAGCAGCAACGTCAACCAGTGATAGACGTTGTCGTTGAAGATGTAAAATTCGCTCCAGAGGCGAGTGGCGTAAAACCCCTGAGAGGAAGGAAAGGATTGAGATTGGACAGCAGGAAAGACAAACACAAAACTTACTGCAAGATTTCATAATTTAACATTAAACATCTCAGTACAAATGAAATATTACATCTGGACATTATCTATGAACTTAGTTTAACTTTAAAGGACTAGTTGGACATTTAGTGAAAACAGGGAGAAACAGCTCACTGATTCGCGTTTATCATCTGAACAAAAACTGACTGAACTGAAGTGATAATTTGCTGTTTTACTGGGTCTTACAGTTTGTGCCAGTTAGCTGGTTACCACAAAGTGCGCAAAAGGCCAAACAGGCTCTCAACGTTTTTTGGCATTTGTATCAGTCATTCACAAAGTTTGTAATTAAATTGTCCATTTTGAGGTTTCTGATTGCACATGAAGGTCCAAATAAACCTGCAGAGGAGGTCTCAAAAAGTCAGAGAGAACCAGATTGTGCTGAGGCCATGAACTGTACCCTGACTGCTTCTGTCCAAACAGGTTTATGTATACCGTAATTTCCGGACTATAAGCCGCTACTTTTTTCACACGCTTTGAACCCTGCGGCTTAA